GACTTTCTGAGACTTGAGAGAGGGTCTCCCCTCTGCGGAGGTCTTCAACAGTTGCATTACTACTTAATTAAAAAAAATACTAATGGCCAATAAATACATCTTAAAAACTGTTCAGTATCATTAACTATCAGGGAAATACAAACCAAAAGTATGTTGAGATTGCATTTCTCCCAGTCAGATTGGCTATCAGTAAGAAAACAAACAAATGCTATTGAAAATGATGGGGAAAAGAACACTCACACACTGGTGGGATGTAATTAGTACGGCCACTGTGGAAATGAAGTATGGAGTTTCCTCAGAAATGGAAAACAACTACCATATGGCCCAAGTCTACTCCTGGGAATGCATCTGGAGGACACACAGCAGAGACCCTTACATCTCTGTGAATGACACAGCACAGGCAGGCACCACAGCCAGATACTGGTCCATCAGCTGATAGATAATGAAGCATATGTACACAATGACATTTATTCATCTATAAAGAACACAACTGTGTCATCTGCAGGAAAATGGAACAGGAGACCATGATGTTAAGCAAAATAAGGCAAGCTCAGAAAGACAAACACCAAAGCTGGGTGTGGAGGCACGCACCTGTAATTCCAGTACTCAGAAGGCTAAGGTAACAGGACTGATGTAAGTTCAAGGCTTAGGATATGAAAGCAAACAGAAGCTAACCAAACCAAAAGTGTCAAGGGTTGAAGAGATGGCTCAATGGTTAAAAGCATGTACAACTGTTGCAGAGGACCCAAGCATGGTTCCCAGCACCCTTAACAGGTGGCTCAGGACTGCCTGTAACTCAGGCTCCAATGGGATCTGACCTCTCTGGCCTCTGAGGATATCTGCACACACAAATGAAAAATAAAAGTTTTGTTTTGTTTTAAAAAGCCTTCCCTCACACACTCTTTTCTCATCCTAGCGTAGCCTTTATTCAAAGTACAATGACTTTCAGTGACGAGGATGGGCTATGGGAGGTAAATATACATGATGAAAACGTCATGGCAAAGCCAGTCATTTTCTACCATTAACATGTACTGATAATAGAAAGGAATGAAGTGTCAACTTGTTTTACAAAATGAACACTGAAATCATGCTAAGTCAGATAAGCCAGATACAAAAAAATCACAACTCTATTTATGTATAATATCCAGAAAGGGTGAACCTACAGAAACTCAAAGACTGGTGATTACAGAGAGCAGGGGAAAGGGGAGGGAAGGAGGAGGAGCATCTGCTTAGTGGGCGGTTTGCTTTCAAGTTTAGAAAAATACTCTAGAACCAGGGGAAGTGAAAAGTTGTACAATATAATGAATACCATTGAAATGTACACTTAAAATACTAATTTAACACATCAATTTCACTTCAATTATAAAATGCTGTCTACAATTGCATGGGTCTCACATGCACAGTTCAGTGTCTTAACAATCATGATAACCACAAAACCAACAGCCAAGGTAGAGAGTTGCTATCACCCCACAAGTTTCCTCCTTGGCAGCCACTGCTGACTTCAGCAGCCATAGCCAAGTTTCCCTCCAGATGACAGCAAATCATACAATATGTCCTTCTATATCTAGTTTCTCCCAATGTTTTGGGTCACGGGTAGATATGCTCTTTATAAATAACTGCAAGGGTTCAACTATGACCAACATCTTATGCTCACACAAGTCACGTATGCAAGCTGCAATGGCTTTGTCCACTCCAACCGTCACAGCTGTCTTTCAATCGTAACTGCACTCCATTACCTCAGTGTGACCATGGCTTTAATTTCTACATCTCAACCAAGTGATACTGGCTCTGTGTGTATGTGTGTGTGCGCACATGCGTGCATGCCAGGGAGAATGGCTCAGCAGTACAACACTTGCCTAGTGCTGTTTGAGACCCTGGGTTAGATTCCAACACTGAAAAAAAAAGAAAATCAGCTTTATTTATAAAATTTACGTATAATACTTATTTTAACAGGACAATTTTGAGGTTGGCCAACTATATACAGTTGTTACCACAACCACAATTAAGACAAAGAATATTCCCATGTGCCTCTTTACAGTCAACCGCATCCTCTCCATCTACAGTCCCCCAGGAATCCCTGCCTTCTGTGAGCTGTTTCCTTTTCTAGACTGGAATCTGCAGATAGGCTTGCTCTGGCTTCTATCACTTAGCACAGTACTGTAGAGATCATCCCAATTGTGGCATCGGTTTTTCCTTTCTGATGTTTAGACAGTATCTACTACATAGTTTGTTCTTTCATTGACTGCTGGCCACATGGGCTGTTCTAGTCTTTAAACTACCAAACCATCAATGGACCTGTGCAACCTTGCCAGCGATACAGGCATGCCTACCAATGGCTCTGCATTTCCAGACACTGGCATTCCAGTTGTTGGGCTGCTTAGTGTTAAGTTCTACTTGTGCCTCTTTGGCAGCAGATAGGGTTCTAAACTCTTAAGCTAATTATCTCAAGCAAATCTTCAGCTCTAATCTCCCACAGATAGAATCATAGCAGTTCTCCAGCCTCTGTTGGGATTGGTTCTAGGACTTCTCAGATACCATAGCACACAGATTTTTTAATCCCTTAGATAAAATGGAGTTCCCATTTGCTGCTAAAATTTAACCTGCAAACATCCTTCTGTGGACTTCAAATGGAGTCAAAATTAACTATCACACCAAACAAAATGTAAACAATATGCAAATAGTTGCACAGTTTAGGAACACTAACAAAAAAGCCTGGTCCTACCACAGGTCTGAGCACTATCTGCTGAGCTGTCACAGCTCAGCCACAGAACCGCTAAGCTAAGAGCACTGCAATGCCTGGTGCTGTTCCTGCTACTCTGAGGAAATGGTTTGGGGAGTCATTTGGTATTTTAGGATTTATTTGAAATCTGCACTGTGAGGCACTTTTTAAAAGATGTTTTATACACAATTTAATCCCCAAAACTACATCTAAGAAACTGACATCCCTGGTTACTAAAGTGAAATTAATAAGATACAGATACATTTCAAATGTTGACTTCTGTAGTGATCGCTGGCGTTCCAAATCTCAGTCCATTCTGATGGCTAAAGCAGATAGGTCTTCGAATGTCACATGGCTACCGATTCTGCTGTGACCATTCGCTCACATAGGAAATTCTATGACTGCTTGTGCTTCCACTGCTCTGAAGCTGATGGAGGATGTTAAATGAGCCAGGCTGGTCCCCAGGGACTACAGATCAATGTTCAAGGTTAAGCACCGCTGGAGAGGCTCGGATCAAAATTCCAAACGACAAGATGCAGCTCTCTAAAAACCATTGTTTCCAGGCCCAGAGCAAACTAGACATTTGTTGGAGCAGTAATCCGTTCAAGCAGCTCAAGAAGCCAACAAGGGAAGTTCCCTAGCAGCCTTTGACCATCACCTTATCCCAGGTAACTAATTCAGTAGAAGGAAGTGGAAATCACTGTCCTCAGCAGTGAACTGCCACAGAAGCCACCAAGAATGTTCTTTGGCTATGGTGATGGAATGTCACGTTCTGCAAAAGAGCTGTCACCCTGACAACGGGCCTGAAGTGACACAATCCCCTGGTAGCTGCTAGGTCCACACAGCAGTCCTCAGGTCTGTTTTCTGTGATGTTTTTGTCTTAGACACTCTTGTTAATCTTTGCCAATCAAAGATCTTGGGAGAACCAAGTTATCACTTCATACACATGTTTATGTTTAACGTTCCCTTTCCTGGAATGCTGTAAAGATGAAGCCAGACAAGAGACTCCCACTAGAGTGATAAGATTGGAGAGAATAATGAAAATTGTGCTTGAGCAAGCTCTAGGTGAAGGGTGGTATTTATCTAGACACTGTTCTGGCCTCGTCTGAGATCTCTGTAGCTGTTTCCCTTCTTTAAAGGTTTTATCAGCCCACCTCTGCCTTCCCAGAGTGCTAGGATTAAGGACATGAGCTACCACACCCAGTCTCAAGGAAAGAGTGTTTTACATTTCTTGCACAGAACAGTGTTTGGATAATAAACCAACAAACTGGAACCGCCAATCCTCAGTACTTCCGGCTTAGCTTACTAAACAAGCCTGCAGGGTAGGTCTCATGGTCCTATTATAAAGGAAAAGACTACTTTATTCCTTGTCTCAGAAGGCTTTGCTTCCCTTCCTCCAGATGCTGGGTAACTTATCAACTTGAGAAAACAAATGATGTACTGATAAATGTGCATTCCAGTACACTTACAAATTTAAAATTTTCAAAAGCTATTACTTTTTAAAAAATTCCTCATTCAGCTGAATACTATCTATTGTTTGTTGACTAGCCAATGCTAAAACATGTATGTGAAATAACAAGATTTCATACTCTTGAAACTGTGATAGATAAGCCCTATCTTTTCTCCCACTAGCATAACAGATCTATCAGCCTTCAAATGTAACGAAGACTGAATACTGTGTATTTAGCTGAGCACAACACCCAGACAATCTGGCATTTTTGAGGCAAAGATTACAAGTCCCAGGCAAGGCTGGGTCACCCCAGAACACAAAACAGAACTGTCAGTGTACTGCTGTGTCTCCTCAGAGGGTCCCCAGGACCCTCCCTCTGGTGGACTCCAGGCAGCTACTGTGTTGGTCAGTGCTGGCCTTTCTCTACAGCTGAAGAGTTGGAAACTGACTCTGATGGGAGACTCTCAGAGGGCAGGCTGAGGAATTAAGAGTCTTCTTTCAAGGAGTAAATCAGCTAAAACAGGACTCTTTGTCACATGTGCACTAGGATACTATAACCAGGATAAGAGGGTGTTGGCTGTTGATATCAGAACAGATTTTCCAGAGCGGCTTGCACTCTCCCACTGTGGTCTGACTTTGAAGCCTTTATCATTGATCAGGAAGCACTGCCAAGGACTTTGCTATCAGGCTTTCTTCACAACTGTCAACACAGCATTAGGACTGACCGTCATGTTCACCTACTCTGTGGCCTTGAACTCGGTTAGGTCTCTCTTATCTTTTTAGGGTTCCATGCCAACTGACCAAGGACTCCAGGAGCCAGTAGGAAGAAGTCTTCCTCTTTCCAAAACTCAGAAGAATGAGGACAAGGCCAGCAGAGACGGCCAGCTTGGTATACAAAGGGCAAGTCTTGCTAATCAGATACAGGGCCAATTGGTTTCTTGTATGCCCCTCTGCTGGGAAAACTAGAGACTACAGGTCCCAGGGAGGTGAGTGCTGGGGAACATTAGGCTAAGGAGGACCATGCTTCTAGTGAAACCTCTTCCAATCCAAACTGTCCTATCTTGGCCTCCTTGGGCTCTCCTTCCCCACACTGGGGAGAACAGTAGTGCTTCAGGAGCCAGTGTCCTTGGAGATCTGTACGTACAGTTCACTCAGTCAGTGTTTACTCAGTGCTCAGTGTGGACTGAGTCCAGGCGGGAGGTAGATGCAGCTGAGTATTAACTGTCAAAGATGAGAAGCCTGTCCTATAAGAGTGACTGTGCTGAAATCTGGCCACCAAGGCACCAAACCCTGCTCAAAGCAAAGAGACTATAAGACTTCCCCACACTGAGGAAAACACAGCTCATTCCACCTTCCTCTACACAGCAGCATCTAAAATTACCAGGATCCTTCACATTGGAGCCCTGGGAGACTCACAGAAGATGGAGAGCTACTCACTGAGTGGAAGCTTAAATGGAGATACGGTATGGAGGTCATCCCAAGACCAGGAGGCCAGGAAAGGGGTATAGCTTGTCATGGTTTCTCCTGCTTGTCTTTGAAGAAGTCTGAAGGTTTCAAAAACTGTCTCTTCCAGACAAGGATAAGTAGGGGACAGAGGTCCTAAGGAAATCAGAACCTTCAAGGAATTCCTCTCAGTTACAGAACAAGAGACTTCTGTGTTTAGCTGTTTTCTCCTCTTAAGTTACAACTCAAACCCTTTACCAGGGCCTCAAATAAATCACACATGGCTCTCAGTGTAGAAACCAAACCCTGCTTTATAAGGCTGCTTGGCTGTCACTGGCTTCTCTACTGAGATATAAGGTGCCAGCCAGGCAGTAAGGTGACAGAGGGTGAACCTTCCTCACCTTCTCCCCATCACCACCACCCCTCCAGCCCTCCAGATGCCCATATCTACAATAGAATCACTTCAAAAATACTCTGATGAGGGGCAAAGTGGAGGCGGGGTAGAGGCTCAGGCTGGTCAGCAGGCTGGTTCCCTTGAGGTAGCTGAGTGCTCCTGTGCAGGACCAGTCATGGGCTCACAGTAGTCAGGCGGGAGTCAGCAACTGACTGGGAAGCAGAAGAAGCAGAAAGTCTGGAACTCTGCCCAGAGTACTTGAGGACAGGTAACCCCTGGGTAGAGCGCTTGGACTGTTTGCTGGTATTCTCATTGCTCTTTGAGGACAAAGTCTTCCTGGATATGGGGGACAGGCCAGCTTGACTCTTCTTGGGCTTGGGTGTTGGCCCATCATCGGAGGATAGCATGTTTCCCTCGGAGCAGCTCTTCTTTCTGAAGGGGAAACACAGCTGAGGCTGAGACTAGCACAGCACGGGAGGAGACTGTGGCTATCTGTGTGGCTGTCGATTCTGATACTCCTACCAACTGCCAGGTGGAGAGTTCCTCTCACTGACATGATCTGGGGAAAGAGGAAAGAGACTCCCCAACTCCATAAGCCTCCTCTTGCTGAACTAGTACTCACCTTGACTTGCTGTGCTCTGATCTGCTGACAGAACTCGGTGTCCCATCACCCTCTGAGGCAGACATGAGCGATGTTGGCAGAGACCACTATAACAAAGGAAGCAGTGAGTTTAAGGGGGCAGGCTGAGTTCAAGAAGGAATGGTCAGAGTCTTGGGAACTCTTGCTCAGGTCTGCCATTCTCACCTGTGAACACAGGGCTCTCACCTGCCCTACACTACAACATGGAGTCATGTGAATAACTCTTGGTTCTCTCCCAAAGAATCAGAAAGTTAAGGTTACTGATCACTTTTTGATCCTTCAAAGATAGGCACCTAGGGCATTTTGTGAGTAACTACCTCCTTGAAAGGAGACAAAGAGGTGGGACCAGGAAAGAGGAAAGGAGGGTACTCACACCCAGGCCAACCATAACACCCTCAGGAGCTGAGAAAAAGTTGTGTTCCTGCATGGCATCACTTACCAGTGGGGCTGAGTCAGAGACGATCCCCGTGTGGAAGCCTTTGTAGCACCAGTTCCGAAGCAGATCTACTCCTGGACAAGACGAGCAGAGGCTGGGACTTAACGGGGAACAACCAATTGCCCGCCTCCTGTCCAGAGAAACCTATCTCTTGGCCTAATGGGATTTAATCTACTAAATATGGCCTCCTGTGGACCAGAAAGGCTTATCACCTTTGAGCTTGTTTCCATGGTACTTCTGTTCCCACTGGGTGGTGAGAATGTTGAAATATCGTGGCTGCTCAAAAAACCGAAGATAGCGAGAAGAGATTCGGGAAGGAAAAATTCTTTCAAATTGACCACGACGAGAAAACTCATCTTCCATCTCCACCAAAACCCGAACATCATCTGGTGTCAAAACATCCAGCACAGATGCATAGAACTCCTGTGTGTGCCCCAAGGAGTAGGGAGAAGGACAATGTGACAGACAATGAGAGACACAGGCATTGAAACAAGCAGCTAGGGTAGGGAAGAAAGCTCTGGTGCTCTAAGTCTCCAGGACTCCCGTGGGATCTGAGGTATACATGTTTCTAAATCCAACGAACTGAGCTCCTGGAGGAAGACACTCTTGGCTAGAGCCAAGGGACAACTTGGGCTGAGTGAAAGAGTGTGTTGTTGAATCAGGGCTAGCACCCAGCAGTTCAGATTCGGCAGCTCATGCCTACCTTTCTCATACCCAGACCTGCTTTGAGGAACTCAAGCCTCCTAGGTCTGCAATGGCTCTTGGGAAGAAGTCAAAGGGTTAAAGGTTGATGTTTCTCACAGAAGTGAGCCAGTAAAGCACAGCACTAAGAGCACAATGACAACCATCCACGTTGCCAGAAAGATACACATGTCAACAAATCTCTGTGCATCCCATCATCCCACTTCTTGGTAAGAAACTCTGATATAGACAGGAAAGCTCATCTCCCTGGAATCTTGATGCTTGACTGATGGATGTTGGTAACCACAGGGAAGATCCATTCCTACCTGATAAATTCCTACCTGGTCAGGAATTTTCTGGGTCAGGTAATAGGCTTTCTTCATCTTCTGTGCAGTGAAGTGCTCTGGAGTCATTTGACATTTGTCTCTAGGAGAGCTTGGCAGGCTACAGTAGACGTAGACAAAAAAACAAAAGACAGGTCAGCAGCTTCCTGTGCTGTCAAAACTCAGGAGGATCTAGTCAAGAGTCCTTCCCAAGCACAGGTGGCAATACTTAATTGTCCCATACCTAGATCACTCTAAAGTGTACTACATTCAAATAGCTTGTTACTAAGTGCCCAAAATGACCAAAAGATGCAAGGCTCACTAATTTGACAGAAGAAGCTGGAGTGAGCCTGACCATGGATGGGATGCTTCAGTTAACACACTCTACAGACCACACTCTATTGCGTGCAGGACCCTATGCAAGAGGCTCTCCGGTACTTGTTTCATTATCCACACCACTATCATCACTATATCACTTTATGTATATATATATATATGTGTGTGTGTGTGTGTGTGTGTGTGTGTGTGTATGTATATGTACATATATATTTTTTTTAACTTTTTGAGTGAAACTCTGGAACTCAGGATGGCTCACTAAGTAGTTCAAAACTAGCCTTGATTTCAAGTCAATCCTGCTGCCTCTTGATTTATGGGATTATAGACATGGGCCACTACATGGCTTGGGTCGCTGAGATATGAAAATGGCTAGAAGGCCAGTGAGATGGCTCAGTGGGTAAGGGTACTTACCACTAAGCTGATGACCTGAGCTCAACTTGGGGGACATGTGTCTGGTCCCTGAAGAAATTCTTTTTCTCAAAGTTAGACATTTAGACAGAAGCCAGCATTCCTTCAGAAATTCCCTCCTGTGGAACTTCGTTTTATGACCCTCTCTCTCTCCTCCTCAGACTACAAACTACTTGGAATCAATACAGATTATATGCTCCATTTTCAAATTCTCTCATATGGTAACAACTTCTGCCATTGAACAAACAAATGATCCCTAATACCTTATGTCTAAACTTGGTCTGTCCTACACTTCCAAGACATCTCTAAGGTTTTTCTACTTCCCACTCTTAAAAAAAAAAAAAAAAAATCTTGAAAAAGAAAAAAGACTTATAGTAAAAAAAAAAATCTATACATGAGTAAGCTTAATTTACAACTAAATATATACAGGATTCAAATCTTGTTTATAATATGTAACTTGTATTCAACTCTTGTTTAAGAGAAACAGATCTACTTTTAAAAAGAATAGATATTTTAAATAGTAACCACATCATTGTCAGTGGTTACTAAGGTCAAAGGATACACATGTCATGTGACTTTGTCTATATGGTATAAAGCAACCAAGGCAACATCTGTAGTGAGAATTTTGGTTTCTTTGAAAAAACACAGAAATATAATAAGAATGTTTTTGTTTTAACTGCAGGTGTGGGATATGGGACGTTTTCTAACCATCCACAGCAGCTGACGATGATTTGCCTCATGATCTAGCAGGAGTGTGATTTTTGCCAGCTGTACAGTTTTTGCAATTGTGTGTCATTTGGAATTCTGTGAACTTTTCAGAGGGTCTCCAAATGCTAGGGCCCTAAGAGGTGGGTTGTTGGTTGTTGGCGGAGACAACATGCAAAGAAGAAACAACAGAAGCAGCTAGATGACTGACCTGCCACAAGGGACTCAACTCCACAATCAGCAGGAAACCATCGAATCATCCTTTTTCCCCACTACCCTTTTTTCTCTATGGAGCTTTAGGGGATTAAAAGGTGGAAGAAAAAAGATAGAAGAAAGCAGAACCCACAAACTAGCCAAAGTCCAGCTATAAATACCTATAAAACTTCTTAGTTCTACTGAGCCCTTAGGTTTTTTTTTTATTATTATATCTCCTTTTAGAACAACAACAACAACAAACCCAGCAGGTTTCCAACATGTTTTGGATTAGAATTGTAGATGATACGTTCCTAAGGTTATAAAGGTATGCTTAGGTTAACAGAACCTAACTTAGAAATATATGTCTAACTACTTTACTTCTTTGCTAACTCTGTTCAACACCAGGTTTCTAAAACAATTTTAAGTAAGAAAACATGGGTCTGTTTGATACATAAGCTTTATAAGTTGCTACGGTCTACTCAGGTTCACAGTAACATGTCTAGCATCTTTGTCTTTGCTAATGTTGTTAAGCTTCAGCTACTTGGATAAACTGAGTCATGTGAGAAACTGTGACATTCTATAATGGTGCACTATAAAAGACTAAACAGTTTAAGACAGGTATACTTAATAAATTATGCCCTTAAACTTTCCAGAGATCTCCTGAATATGACATTTAAAATGTTTAATAAAAGTGTCACATGATAGACAGAAATGCCAGGTCATAGCAGAAACCCTAATATCTTCAAAGACAGACGGAGTGTGATTTTACCTGATCTGCAATAACACTAACCACTGCTACCAGGGAACTGCCCAAGCTATGGACATTGTTGGGTTGACTGTTCTACTTTGCCTCCTCAAAGTTAACATTAGTCCCTCACGCTCCTCCTCTACAGAAAAATCTCAGAGCTGGATCTGGCAGCCAAAGGGTAATATTGCTTTGTGTGGTAGTTGAAGATTTAATGCTGTCTTTTATGATAGCTGAAGATAGACCGCTGCCCCCAATGAAGCCTTCAAGACCACAGGAGCCTAGAGCAGCCATCTAGGTAGTAGGTAAGTCTGTTATTTTAATTGGCACATAGGCCATATGGATTAATACTTCCTGCTATTATTTATCTTTCTCAGATCTGATATTGACTAAATATAGCTTTAGGAGCAACAGGCATACCAGCTCCTCTTCCAAGGCCACATACAGCTGCCTTCCCTAGGCCTCACTTTCCTAGAGCTACTAGGCCTCCAGCAGAAAGACAGTTTACCTTGCTACTCAACTCTGAGAGGAGATAAACTCATTTTTGGGTCACCAAGCTTTTACTATAACTCAAAGGCATAAGTCTACTGCTTTATCTACAATGTGGATTCCAATGCAAACTACAGACTGTGGTAGATAGTGCTATCATATCTAAAATTTATCTCTTTTTTGGAAACATAAAATAAAAATCTTGTTAAGTGTTGGGAGCAACCTTGCTTATACACTGAAGGCCTAAGTCAGTCATACATGTCTACTAACATAAAGTCTTGGTCTCTGTGGGAAAACACTAACCTTAGAACAGATAGCTATAGACCTTGTAGACAAGTAGCCTTGGTAGAAAACCATCAACCTAGATAAGAACAAGTAGTCATAGGTCTTGTGGATAGGTAGCCTTGATGGAGGGTACCAACTTAGATAAGAACAAATGAATCATAGACAGAGTCACAGTGACCTGTTCCGCCCTGCTTCTGGAAGATATCTGTACTTCCCGAGAACACCTACGCTCCTGAGTCAGCCCCGTCCCCACATCCTGCCTCTATGTGTATATAACCCCTGTGTGAAAAAATTAAAATAGCGGTTTGATCAGACTATAGACAAGCCATGGTTCTTTGAGCCCTCTGTCCTCCAGTTCTCTCTTACAAGTCCTCCAGAACCCAGTTCAATACCCCTCGGGACTGGGGCAGTGAACTTTCAGGGAGTCAACTCGGATCCACCTCTCACACGTAAACTGTGGCAAGTGTTTAATTCAGATAACTGAAGGACAGGGATATGTGTGTGTGTGTGTGTGTGTATGGATATATGTATCCATATATATCCATCCATCCAGAAATACACAGTAGGCAAAGTAGACCAGTCACCAAGCAAAGCACCATTTTGGTTAGTTTTATTTTTGTGTTTTGAGATAGTCTCACTGTGATTTGGGCCCACACCTCCAAGAGGGATGGGATCACAAGTACCAAACAGCTCATCCTGCTGGGAGCCAGAATTTGCATTCTACTCCCTCACTCGCTGAAGCTGAATGGTCCTGAATGATTCTGTTATAAGATCTTCCTTATCATGTGTCCTCATCTGCAAACTACAATACTAATATGAGTCCTACAGAACTGACAGGATATACTGTATTTCCTTAAGTACCTCAGGTACTTACTAAATATTAGTTCCCTCTCCTCAAGAAAAATTTCAAAGCTTTGAAAGTATGATGAAGGAAAAATTACACACTGAGATGGCTTCATAAAGGTGTTGTCTGGAACAAGGCTTGATGGATAGGGAATCTGGGTGAAGGGCATCTTTAGAATGAAGAAACTACAGAAGCAGAGGAAAGAAAGGACACTTGCAGGAGAACAACCAGAAACAAACTATGACAGGAAATGGGACTACCTAGTCCTTAAGGATCTGCCAGGGCAAGAGAATCAGGCAGAGTAGAGACAAACACCCAGAAAGAGAAGCTGGGGCCGCCAATGTCCATGTAAGGTTAAATTTGATAGTTGGCTCCTGTGGAGATTTCTGAGTAGGAACTAAAGTGACCAGACTTACTTTCAGGGTACTGGTGTGACAGTGGTGTGTGGATGGACAGCAAAGACAGATGGAGCCATAAAGGAGACCAACTGGAGAGAGGCTCCAGAACCCATTTCCTCCCCAAGTCACACTGGGCTCCTCATGCTACCACCCCAACTTCAGGAAAAGTGAGAAGCATACCTGGTGCTGGAGCCGCTGGAGCTGCTGGGACTGCTGGAACTAGAGATGATATCCTCCATGTTGGGCAGAACAAAGCCCGCCAGGTTCAGAAGATCTCGGATCATCTGGCCTTTGATGCTGATGTCCAGGGGAGAGTTGGAATGGAGGCTTCAGGGGGGAATGCAAAATAGGGTCAAAGCAGCATTCCAGAATGATTTGGGGTCCTACATCCAAATCAGGGCTTCTTTACAACAAATGAAACTCCAATATCCACATCTTCAACAAATACCCTGAGGTGTATGTGGTGGCACATGCCTTTAATCCCAACACTCAGTAGGAAGAGGCATGTGAATCTGAGTTTGAAGCCAGCCTAATCCACAGAGTTCCAGGACAGTCAGAACAACACAGAAAAAAATGAATACCCTCAAAAACAACAAATACCCTTACTCAGCTTGGCGAACATGTCCGTGCTCTTGGTTTGCTAGAAAACAGTAGGGATCAACAACTTTTAATAACCCTTCTCTAATCTCACAGTGAGTCAGTAAACATGATCATGAAGGGAAGATATACACCCTAATGAAGGAAAGACCTTCATAAGTCAACAAGACTATAATGACACGGACTTTTTGGATGAAAGACAGATTCTATTGAGAAACTGAAAAATACTACCTACCTTGGGGAAATGTTGACTTCTAGGACCCAGGGCTTCAGGTTCTCATCCAGCATGATGTCAAAACCAAAGAGTTCATGACAGCTATAGGGGCGCCGCACATATAACTTCAGTAGGTTAGTCACATAGGGCTCTGACCTGCCAGTGAGGTGTCTTGAATTAGGAGAGCAGAAGCAACTTTCTCTCCAAAAGTGCCTCCTCGGAGCCAACATGGAGATACATGCATACAATCTCAACACTTAAATGGTCAGGAGTTCAAGGCCAACCAAGGCAGTATCAGACCATCTCAACCATAAGCGCTACCCCTTCCCTTCCCAACAGTGGCCCTTAAGAGATGTGCCTGATCTGACATCATCGCCTTGATGAAGTTTGGTAAATAAGCAGCATGGTGACCTGGGTAAGAGATGCTTATATAGGTTCATATATTTGAACATTTGATGTTTCTAAAATCCAACCATCCCCAGTTAGGTCACTGTGCCTTGTGCTAACTCTCTGGAATCGTAAGCCCCAAACTAAATACTTTTTTTTTTTTATAAGTTGCCTTGGTCATGTTGTTTTATCACACCAACAGAAAAGTAATTAAGAAAGCAGAATTCAACTCTTTGTCCTACCCTATCCTCAGACATGAAACACAAAATGGGCACAGCATAGAGGCAAGGAGAGAACATGAGGGTTCATGGAGCAACCCACATCTAAGTAGCACTACAACTCACGAGATGATGGTTTTGACAACAACATCCTTTATCTTCTCCCAGATGGCATCACTATTAATTCCTTTCTGGCTCAGATAGTTCCACAAAGCCTTCAATGCCCTGAAGGTAAAGGATAAGTAATTAATTGGGGTTATGTCCTAGAAATGAATGACAAGAGAAAAAAATAAGGAGTATGAGGCATATAGATACTTCCTTTGTACTTCACCAATGATATTTTGTAATAGGAAAGAGACGCACATGGATGCAAACAGACCAATTCTGAAGTGTGACAAGCACTTACATAACCTCCAGACTCTGTACTAACACTCAGCAACTGCCCCAAACCTCCCAAAGGCAAAGCTCTTCCCAGGTTCAAGATGGGAGTCTGCCCTCAGTACCATTTGTGGCCTTGGCATGCGGTCTCATCAGCATTGGCCTGGTATTCTGCGTTCTTTTTATTGACACTGTAGTTGGTCAGGTGCATGAACTTGTTGCTAAGACTCTTCATGGAAGGGGAATACCTGCAAATGAGAAGAACGGCAGAGCAAACGTCAGGCCAAATGTTTCCCCAGGAAGGAGATAAAGGACAAGTGCAAAGATCTGTTCAGTTCCTGAAAGGCCTAAGTTATAGAAAAACAACAACTAATCTCCTTGGCAACCTCAGTCCTTCAGGAAAACTTTCCTCACTTCCCAGCCTCCCACCCTCCTCCTTACTGATGGAAGCTACCATGATCTCTTGTTAGTTTTCTGCTCACTGTCCTCCTCCCAAGGAAAGAAAATCTCCCAGTGTCAGGGTAATGCCTCATCACCAGCACATACTTGCAACTGGCAAAGCGGACGAGTCCATCCGAAAAGAGGTAAATCCGTAAAGGATCATAAGAAGTCACGTAAACATAGATCCGAAGATCAAATTTGCTGCCACTAATGAGGTAGGGTTTGTGTAGATACCTATAAAAAGAAAGGCTAACTTTACTTCTAGCCAGATGATCCCAAACAGACAACAAAGGAAGGCCTCTGGCTGGGAGGACATGAGGTAATTCAGAGACAACAAGACAGGAGGATGAAGAGAGGATTGTGAGCTAGATGGGCTCACCTCTGTACCAGAAGGGGCCTTCGCTTGGGGAGCTGACTCCATTTGTGAATGACCTGAATGCCAATGCCTCGAGCAGATGCTGGCTACAAGTCAAAGGGGCAAGAGATGAGATCTGCCGTTTCTCCACGCTCATCCCACCATCTCCTTCTCCCTTTGCCTCACTTACTGGCTTCACAATCCACTTCTGGCGGCTGCTGCTCTCCCAGGCTTTGCGCAAGAGCTTGGAATCCTGGGGCAGGATAAAGGACTGAGGAAAGAAACTGAACTCCTTCTTGCCGAAACGGCTTTGCATGCGAGACAGGTTCCGCCACAGCCGGTCCTTCCTCCCAATCTGGAAGGAGCCTGGGAAGTGGTTTAGCTGCAGAAGGCACAAGAGGCAAGTAGAGGGAAAGAGCAGAGGTGAGACCAAGAGGAACAAATTAACCCCACCTCATTACCTCAACATCCCCGGCAAAGTTCTTGTTTCCTTTCACCTTTCTTCCCATCATCAACACAAACTCACCTGGAAAGAGTGAACTAATTAAGGAATTGCTTCAACCAGGCTAATCTATGGGTATGTGTGTTGGGGCATTTTCTTAATTAACTATTGATATGAGAGGGGCAGGCTCACCTTGGGTGAAGCCATCCCTTGGTAGGCGGTTCTGGGCTGTATGAGAAACCAAGCTGAGAAAACCATTGAGAATGAGCCTGTAAGCAATGTTGCTTTCTCAACAGTCTCTACTCAGCTCCTGCCGTGGCTTCACTCAGTGATGGACTGTAAGCTGTAAGCCAAAGTAATCCTTTCCTCCCCAAACTGCTTTTGCTCAGTCCTTTATCACAGCACCAGAAAAGTAAGCTAGGACAGATGTGACAGCCCCTTTGAGTACAAAGGATAAAGCTGTTAAATATGCTTCCTTCCATGCTAGGAAACCAGCAGGCTATTAGGGAATTCAGGGACAGGAGGCCATACTGTTCTAACAGAGGCATAAAATCCTCTTTTTATACATACCTAGCTTGGGGAGTAGAAGCAGATAGCCATGGTAATGAGAAACACACCCAACTAAAAACAGACAATGCCTCAAGAAATGGACTAAAAACCCTGGGTGGCAACTGGATCCACTGTGGCCTCTCTAGAACACTGCTCTGTAATTGTTCTCACTTAAATGCTCCTCCCACACTGCCCCTCACTGTCCCAACAACACCTTCGTCATGAGTCTAGCCATGGGACAGACAGGCTCCTTGGAAAAAAACCCACCTTCTGATGCTCTCTAATGGATCGAAAACCAGGAGACTTCATGTGGTGACCCCAGCAGCCCAGCCAGTCATCATTTCCTGCAGAAGGCAATCGAGAAGTCAGTCTCACAGAACAGCTCAGACTCTGGGACAGAACAAGACCTCACCACTGTCCTCACCAAGCTGATTTAAGGGATTTAAGAGTTACCATGGAGCTGCCCTACATGAGGCTTTAGGATCAAGACCAGAACAATGCTCCTCTGGCTCCCAATTCTGGGCAGCTGGGTGAGCCCAGAGGACTTTCAGAGCTACACCCTTTCATGACGTTAAAGGCATCAAGACTCCCCACATACAACAGGATCTCTAAGTATCTCTTTCTGTCCAAACTCCCATTTGGCAGGGCAAGGAGGTCAGGCTCACAGTGTGGTGAGTAACTCACTCTTGCTGATTTTGAAGTGCGACCGTCCGATGGTCTGCTTGACAATGTTGGGGGTCACTGTGCTCATCTTCCACCGAAGTAGCCTCCTCTGTTCCCAAGGAAGTTTCTCCACTGGGAAAAGGCAAGGCAGGGTCAGGGTGAAGAGCAAGAGGGTCATAGTGAGGAGATAAAAACAATGGCACTGGTGCCCATCCTTCCTTGGGCAGCCAGATCACTTAAAACTGTTCTAGATCAGGTTTTAGAGGAGTACAGTTTATGGAGAGGCTGTGCAGGAGTGAGAAACAAAAGAAAGGCTGGGAGGGCCAGGCGGTGGTGGCGCACGCCTTTAATCCCAGCACTTGGGAGGTAGAGGCAGGCCTGGTCTACAGAGTGAGTTCCAGGACAGCCAGGACTATACAGAGAAACCTTGTCTCGAAAAACCAAAAAAAACAAAAACAAAAAAAGGCTGGGAGGGTAAAGAAACTGGTTAGAGGCCATGTGCTAAGCCAGAGATTAGAGACTGAGAAAGGCCAATGAAGGACAGATGAGCAAAGTGAGTTGGGATCCTCCTGTGAGCTCCTCTGGATTTTGTCACATGGTTACACTTACCTCTTTCATCCCGAGTCCCAAAATAGATGGTAGGGGTTACATTGGGGAAGAGACTGTAGATGAGGGCTGGCCGTACAACTTTCTCATGATTGGAAAGGGATTTGGACATCAAATCCACACAGTTCCTGTGATAAAAAATAAACATGACAGAATGGGAATGCAACAGCATTTCAGTGTTAACAGGACTGCATGAAACCCTGAAAACACAAGTGTTTGATAATCATTCTGCAAATATGAATTCATATAGTGCTAGAGCTAACTGACCTATAGTTATGTACACCATTAAATGTCACCGAGAGTCAAAGATTCCCAACACTCTGACAGCACATCTCCAGTGCATGTCCTCTTCCACTCTGGACAAGAATCCTAACAATTGCATGTCCAGATCTTATAGACAGAGGGAGAAGGACCCTGGGCCAGTGGGCTGTGGAGGCTGAACTGCTGAGCTAGCTCTCATAAGCATCAGCTGTCACTCAGGTACAAGCCACTGGCCCAGACCATTTCTATTAATAGCATTGAAAAATGGATAGGTTTTCCTCTTTACATTGAACAAATATGAGCCACAAATATTACTGCAAGATTAGTTTTCATATTATTTAAAAACGACAACAAACCAACAATAACAAAAATAACTTTTAAGGCTTGGAGTATATCTTATTGGGAAGAACCCTTGCCTAGCAGAAAGGCCCTAAGTTTGATCACCAGAACCATGACAATTTTCAGTACAACACAAATAGACTCTATATGTAAAATAATTCAGTATTCCATAATATAATTTTTAAATTTGTTTTTAAGACAGGAGGTTCCTACATAAAGGCGAGGCTGGTCTCAAACTCACAATCTTCCCACCTCAACCTCAAGTACTGGCATTAGACATGTATCACCATGCCTGACCAAGCAAAGAAAACTAAAGAGAATGAGCTATAAAACAAAGTTAAGACAGGAAGATAAGGTGTCACCGAAAACATCTATCCTACACCAGCAAACATATTTCTGTGCCTGTGTCCCAGAGAAATAAAGACTCATGTTCAAATAAAATATGTACACGATTCCTTATGCTAGCTTTACTTATGGTAGTTCAAAGCTGGAAACAACCTTTATAGCCTCCCACAGGTGAATGGTGAAGCTCACAGCAGCGCATCGGCAGAGTGCGGCTGACACTCTGCGGTGTGCCACAAGATTTGAGGTCACTCTATCATTTACCATCACAAGGTCTGGGCCAGCCAGAGCTGTACAGTGGGACTCTTCTTAAAAAGTAAAACTAGGGGCTGGAGGAATTGCTCAGTGGCTAAGAGTACTTTTCTTAAAGAGGATCTGGGTTCAATTCCCAGGATCTATATTTCAGCTCACAACCATCCCTAACTCTAGTTCCAAAGGATTTCCCCACCCACCCAGAGGTTAAGAACCCCACAAACACTAACAATGAAAGGGTACTTGACTTATCCTTAGGTAAAGCTATGACCCTGGAACATTTAATCTCCTTCAATGGTCCTCAGTATTTTCATGGTCTTGAATTACGTCCATCCCTAATATCACATGATTCTGTACAGCAGCAGAAAATTCAATATAACTGTTGAGCAGGAAGGTTACCATGAGTTTAAAGATAGCATGGCTTGGGCTGGAGAGATGGCTCAGTGGTTAAGAGCACTGACTGCTCTTCCAGAGGTCCTGAGTTCAAATCCCAGCAACCACATGGTGGCTCACAACCATCCGTAATGAGATTGGATGCCCTCTTCTGGTGTGTCTGAAGACAGCTACAGTGTACTCATCAATAAAATAAATAAATAAATATTTAAAAAAAAAAAAAAAAAAAAAGATAGCATGGCCTATACAGCAAATTCTAGGTCACCTTCTAACAATCTCAAAGTATCTGATTTTAGTCAGCTTTAAAATGTAAAATGTGGGCTGGGAGAAGTCTCAGTGGTTAAGAGCACTAACTGCTGCTCCAAAGAACCTATGTTCAATTGTCAGCTGTCACATGGTGACTTGGTTCCAGGAATCCAACACTCTCATCTGGCCTCTGAGGAAACCAGGCATAAACCCATATGCATAAAATCATGAAATTTTAAAAAATAAAAATGTTGCTGGGGACCGGGCAGTGGTGGCACACACCTTTAATCCCAGCACTTGGGAGGCAGAGGCAGACGGATTTCTGAGTTCAAGGCCAGCCTGGTCTACAGAGTGAGTTCTAGGACGGCCAGGGCTATACAGAGAAACCCTGTCTCAAAAAACCAAAAGTTTGGTAATTCACTCTCCATCGTCATAGAAAGCCATACTGTAAGCCTCATATCTATAGGAACTTGTGTATAATTTATAGTAGTTACTGAACAATGAACAAATGATTACCAACTTTTCTGGACTTGTGGGTGGTTTTGTTTTCTTTTCTCCGATTTTCCTGATACCTCTGCCTCTACCTTGCAGATTTGGTGCTGTAGAGTCAATAAAGCTGCTGCCACACCATCATATTTACAAAGACATGAGCAGCTTTATTCATGCTAACCCAGATGCAGAGGGTCTTCTCAGATACAGGTAAAGCAGACTGGATGCAAAGAAAGCAGCTAGAGTTGCAGTATGCTGGGTATTGCCCTAATAAACAAGGCTAGATTTTAAATGAGAACAGGAACTGTGAACTGAGAGAGAGGAAGAGGAAGAGGGAGAGGGAGAGGGAAAGAATGAGAACATGAGAGTTAGAGCATGCAAGAGCTAGCTGGAGAGATGGCTCAGAGGTTAAGAGCCCTGACTGCTCTTCAGAGGTCCTGAGTTCAATTCCCAACAACTACACAGTGACCCCCAACCATCTGTAATGGGATCGCCCTCTTTTGGTATGTCTGAAGATAGCAACAGTGTTCTCATACACCTAAAATAAATCTTTTAAAGAAAAGCCAATTTTTCCTTTCTTTATTTTACTTTTTGAATTTTTTACATTTATTTATAATGGTGTGTGTGTGTGTGTGTGTGTGTGTGTGTGTGTGTGTGTGTACATGACTGCAATGTGCATTCAAGCCAGGGAACAGTTGAGGGAATTCTCGGGACCGAACTCTCGTTGTCAGGCTTAGAAGCAAGCACCATTATGTGCTGAGCCACCATGTAGTCAAATGTATTTTAAAATGTCTAAGGCCTTTTACAGAATGATATGCTTCAGTTATCTCTTGACAATGCATTCCAAAGTATTTGCTCTACAAAAGGACTTAAACGAATGGGCATGATAGCACACACCATTAATCACAGCCTGAGAGAGGCAGAGGCAGACATATCTCTGTGAGTTCAAGGCTAGCCTGATCTACATAGGGAGGCTATGCAGAGACCCTGTCGGAAAAGACAAAAACACTTAAACTATAGTTACACACGAAAACAAACAAATTCTTATTTACGAAAAATGAATTAGGGTTGTCAGGGCCAGTTAGGGTAATGTCATCACAACCTTCAAGCAACAGAAATGAGCATCTGGCAATGATATGCGTAGCACTCACCGAGATATTAATGCCACTGACTCGCTGGGGGAGACAACACTTAAAGAGGAGCACTCTGAGTCTCCTGTAGAGGAAGAACAGAGCAGTCATTACTGGAGGGAGAAGGCGGTGCTGCATGTATACCCTCTCCAAGCCCAGGCAGCTAACCGTTACTGTAACATCCTGAGCACTGTCCGTCTTGAGGGAGCAAGGAGCATCCCTGCTCTGCACTGCATTCCTTTACCTTAACAGGAGAGGGTGGCAAGACTAGTGGGGCAGATGACTAGACCCAAGTCCCTCAAAATTCCCCAGTTAGGCCCTCAAAAAATGACTGATGCAGGTGATGTCAGTCAAGCCTACCACAGACTGTCATCCCTGCTCCCTAGTAGATAGTAAGCAAGCCCTACAGTTAGAAGCAAAAGGATTCCTTACTCACCTTCCTCTTCTTCATTCTCATCATGGCTGCAGCTATCTTCCAAACCATCTCCCAGTTCATCTTCTGTATCTTCATGCTCCACCTGGTTTGGCCGGAGGTCAGTAGCTGAACTGAAAGAAAAAAATCATGCCTCCACCCAAGCCAACTCCATAGGAATCACTCTGGAGTCCCATTTTTTCATTGTCTCCCAGTAACAGCCTCCTTATCACCAATGTGTTATTTTTTGCCTGGACCTCATAAACTACTGCTCAGGTCCTCAGAACTTAGGTCTAGCCATAGTTCCTCAGCTTTACACCCTCGTCTGCATATCACTATGTCTTCCATTTTCTTTGAAGTCTCTTAACAGTATATGAATATAAAATTCTGCATACAAAAGTCAATGAATATCTGGTAATTCACATGATCTTGGGATGTTCACTGGGAGAAGAAGGCCTTGGCAGAAGGTTCTAGAAAAGTAACAAGACACAAGAGAAGGAACCAACTACATCTATGTCTTCAACTCTGAGTTGCTATCATTCCAGGAATGCACAGGAACCCAGTTTGGTTTGGAGTAAGTAGGAAAGTAACAGACCCTAAGAAGTGGTACCTAGAATTCTTAGTTCTCCACTGGTAAAGCCTAAAACAGGAAAGGGCAAACTCTCCAAAGGACCTATCAGTAAATATCTTTAGTAGACCAGCCACAACTTCCCAACTCTACAGCTGTAGGAAAAAAAAAAAAAAACACAAAACAAAACAAAAAAAAACAGCCAAAGACAACAGTAAATAAATGAACAAAAGTGCATCCCAGTAAAACTTAATTTAAAAAAAGCAAGAGTTAGTCTGCAAGCTAGTTTTCTAATCCCTACAATAAATCCCAACTTTAAAGTGAAAACTAAAACTTCTAGGACAGCTAAGAAATAAAGCCAACTATCAGAGATACAGGGCATCAATCAGTGTCTCCAGACTATGGTGTAGCTACTGTATTGCTCCAAATAAACCAAGGACAAGCAAGGTGTAACTTACCGATCACCCTTAGTACAAGAGTTCAGGTCCTTGGCTTCCTCAGGCTCCTTCTCAGGCTGGCCAAGATGGACAGAAGAAAGACGAGTGGCTACTTCAGCTACACCAAGAGGCTGGAGGGAAGAAGGGGGAACAGGAGCTCTGTCTTCTCCAAGTAATTGGGGGTCAACTACAGACCCACAGGTAGGGCTAGGATTGAGCCCATGGACATGTGAGGCAAGGAGGTGAATGCTGATCCTTTTGGTACAAAAGACTGTACTGTCCAACCCCAAGGTGTCTGAAGCACCAGGAAGGATCCCACTGTCTAATCCAATATCCTCCTGAGGAAACCGCTGGCCCATCAGAGGTTTCCACCGCCTGCTTCTGTTGAGAAGACTCCACTGGAAGCTGGGGTTCACAAAACAAGCCTGTTCAAGGTAGCCTTGCCGTGGCATCTTCTCAAAGCCTTTTGCAGTCAACTTCCTCACAGCCTCAGTGAAGTGTACCTCTTTAGTAGCACTCTGGGAATCCGGGTTTTCATCCAGGCCACAGGGATGTGCCTCCATCCTAAAGTTACTCTGACTGCACTGGGAAGAGGTAACACTGGCTGTGGATATGTTGAGGGTGCTAGGGGTAGATGGGGTGATAGGGGCAGTGACATCATCTAAGACAGTAGCAATGTTTTGGGGCACCTTATGGTCACCAGGTTGGGGTACACAGTCTCCAGTACCCCCTGAATGATGCCATGAGACAGGCTGGATCTTGGGTGAGGATACTGACTTCAGGCCATCTGTGGCTTGTGATAAGGGCACTTTAGTGCTATTTGGCCTCATGAAGGAGTTGTTGTTCAACACAGGCTTGTAGGAGGATAGTGGAGATGCAATCTTCCCTGAGATGGCAGAGGACAGGCTCTTCCTTGAAGGATTTTCTCCAGCTGCTGCCAGTGAGAGGTATGGATCAGTGGGTGAAGATGCCATGGGCTGGGCCATGGGGAAGACTGTAGATGTGGCTTTATTGGCAGTGACACTGACAGGGAGACCCTTCTGAGGGAAGGAAAAAGGTCTTTTCTCTGATGGGCTGGAACGCAAGCAGAAAGATTCCAGTTGCTGGTATGGTTTTTGCCTCACGTTGGTGCGGCGGTACAGCAGAGTACTGCTGAACAAGTCAGGGAGAGATTGCAAGTAACAGGGATTGCTGTGGCCTGCAATGACAGCTGTGGTCCCAGAGCTACATAAAGTGCTAGGGCAAAAAAAATAGGCTGGCTGGGATGGGACTCCCAAGAGACTGGTGCCCAGCCCTGCTGACAGTGTGCCTACGTGCTTCCTTTCCAGTTTCCAGATTGGCTTCACCTGCTGATGGGCCTGAGACCAGACTTTGACCTCCGAGGGTTTCTCAGATGGTGAAGCAGACACTGAGCCTGAGGGATGTCTCTGCTTGAAGCTGTTTCCTCGGCGCAGGCCAATACTGTAGTGCTCTGTTCCTGCTGAGGCCATGAGGGGCCCACATCATGGCAACATGGCCTCATGGCCTGGCTCAGATAAGGTGCCACACACCTCTAGCACCAGCCGCATCCTTGAATCTGTTAGCCTGCAGGGAGAGAGATGATTAGAAATGCTGCCAGCTTATGAGGATGGGTCCTATGCTAGATAAGTAATAGGGTCTTACTTCAGCTTTGCCAACCAGTCTTGGTCATCATCTGGGGCCCTAGATGAAGAACACATATCCAGGGAGCTTGCAGTGGACCAAATCTGGTTTTAAGAAGGACTACGCTCTTATGGGTCCACCAGCACAAGGCTGCTCATGTATCCACACTCTCAGAAAGCTTGCCTCTCTTCAAAGAAATGTAGTTGTTAGTTGGATAAGATCAGGAGACATCCTATGATGTGTGTGTATGTGTGTGTATTTGTGTGTGTAACTGGCAAAGAAAAAAAAATAAAGCATATGGTTTAAAAGAAGAAGAGCCAGGCAGTGGTGGCTCATGCCTTTAATCCCAGCACTTGGGAGGCAGAGGCAGGTGGATTTCTGAGTTCAAGACCAGCCTGGTCTACAGAGTGAGTTCCAGGACACCCAGTGCTACACTGAGAAACCCTGTCTTGAAAAAAAAAAAAAAAAAGGAGGAGGAAGAAGAGGAGAAGCTGTCTATCACCACCCAGACTTGACCTCTTGTACCTAATAAGACAGGTCTAAAAGTGGCAAAGACCAGTCTGTAGTCCCCTCTCAACCAATTCGGTCAGAAAGTGCAAAGGCTGTTCAAGAACACATCTGCTCTATTGTTCTGTGCTTCAGATCTCAACTATTTTACCTTTACTTTGAGCAGAAAGAAAGAAAGAAAGAAAGAAAGAAAGAAAGAAAGAAAGAAGGAAAGAAAGAAAGAAAGAAAGAAAGATAGATTTTGAAAGAAAGAGACACAGAGAGACAGAGACAGAGACAGAGACAGAGACAGAGAGAGAGAGAGAGAGAGAGAGAGAGAGAGAGAGAGAGAGAGAAAGTTCAGACAGAAACAGAGCAGACACAGCAATTTCAAGAATCTTCAAGAATCTTGTCAACCATGCAGACTACTAAGTTCCAAACCATATACTGGTGGGACAACAAGGAAGGCAGATGGAACTAAGCACTAACACTATCTTAGTTACAGGGACTTTATCCTCAGCAGCCATAATGGAACAGAGAAATAGGGAAGCAAAGGAGAAAGGCAGCAAGAGTAGAGCAGCTTTCACCCAGGGCCCAGACTGTAGTTGGCTGCTCTCTGGGGTGGGGAACCTGCCTTGTTTCACAATTTCTTCAGTACGGTTGCTCTCTAAACAGACTCACAAAACATTATCTAGTTTTCAAAGTTGTAGGGAAAGGTGTCTACCTGCATGACTACACCCACAGGGAAGTAACTCACACCTGTCTATTTACCTCAGACAGAATTCTGATCAGAGTACTGTCCAAGAACCAAGATTCCTGTCTACAACTACTAGGAGGAGGATACCAACAAAGAACCTGAAGAAGCCATGTGACATTGCCCTCCTTTCCTACACTTGGTGACCCACAGGGAGTCCTTTTCAAGAATGCAAACAGGTACAATACAATAAAACGACGATGGCGATCGAAAAAACACTGTAAATGCTAAAAACAGTATTGAGGTCAATGTCCTCAAGAAAGGACAAAAATGTACCTCCACACAAGCCCAAACATGGAAACAGTGTATGGGGGAAGATTCCCTGTATACAATCACCCTGTATACATACAATAGAGAAGCCTAACACTGAAGGAGTCATGTCTTATCAATGACTCAATGTATGCATGTATGAATGCTGGGTACACTCAAAAGGCTAACAATCCAATTCCATCCTCTTTCAGGAACCCACATCTTACCCTACCAACGCAACACAATAGATTCTCCACGCTTTATAAGTTCTAGTCCAAGCCTTCATGAATGAAACATCTAAGAACATTCCATATATTTCTTACTAATAATATAGACAGTCCCACCTTCCTCCATAGCTGTCAGTCAGAACCAGTGCATAATTTCTTGTCTGCATCCTACCAGGAAATCACGTGTGCCAGGAACACTGAACACATTGGCTTGACACCCAGACACCAGCTGGTTTGTTCTTTGGTTTGTTTGTTTGTTTTTTGACAGGGTCTCACTATATAGCTTTGGCAATTCTGAAACTCATTATGTAGACCAGGATAACCTCCAACCCACAGATATCTGTCTGCCTCTGCTTCCCAAGATTGAGGATTAAAGGCATGTGCCACTACACCCCATGGCTTGTCTTTTAATACAAAGAAGGAAGAAAGAGCCTAAGGATAAATCCCATCCCCTTAACATCTAAAAGTAGTTTTACCCCAGATGGTGTCAAGCTGGCAAGCTGGGTTAGCTCCAATGTAGGTGAGGTGAGTTCTGTTCTAACTTATGGAGGTGGATTCTCTTCTAACGGATGGAATACCAGCACCAAGATGATCACTTACACTCCTCCTTCTCTTGTAAGGGTGTGTAAGGTAACAACCTGGGTGCAGGCCATATATCTTTAAGTGTATGCAAGGACCAGGGAGGTGAGATGGTCTCTTTAACCATGACAAAGAGTTCCACAACTCTAAGAGACATCCAGGGCTAGTTAACATGGCGGTGTCACAGAGAGCCAGGTATATTGCCATGTTATATAACTGTAGACGGACGGTAGCTCGGGAACGTTCCAGTCCACCGCAGCATCGCAGTCTCACAGAGGCGCCTCAACATGGCTTTACTTCATAAGCATTTGACTCAAACAAGCAAATGATAGTTGCTAAAAGCAACTTCTCTTTGTGGAAATTCCTAATGAAACCAAAACTCAGTGTCATAGAAAGCAGAAATTTAGTGGCAATACATTTCTGTGTGTTCCATCCCCACCACTGCTACAGGTCACATTTTCCCATGCGATGCCCAGTGCTGAGAGGAATGTGATGTCAAACTTAAAAAGTATGAGACAGTACAAATCCTAACAATCTGAGGAAATCAAATTATTTCCAAATCTGTTTGAAAATAGTTTCAAAATCTAACTAACACACTAAAAAGGCTGAGTTCTAGCTGGGTGTGGTCATGCACACCTTTAATGCCAGCAGTCCAGAAAGCAAAGGAAGGAGGAGCTCTGAGTTAAGGACAGCCTAGTCTGTCTACACAGTGAGTTACAGGACAACCAGGCCCTACACAGAGATCCTGTCTCAAAACAAAATAACAAAGACTGTTGAGTTCTGTCCTCAGGTCAAAATCCATATAGGCAAATAATGCCTGGTACCCAAACCCTCTCACAAGACAGCTTTCTACTGGGTCAAGTCTGTCCTCTGAAGTAGTCTCTTGACTTCAGATACTCAGTGTCATTTCTCAAGGTTTTCCAAGCGCCTCATTAAATGTTTAAGTATACTGTGAAGACATCCTCTATGTATCCATCTGTATGCTGTTAGAATCCAGGGAACAGACTGACTTTCTCCCAAGCAAAACTTCAGGATGAGCTACCAACGGAAAAAGAACATGGAAGAAGGCCATGCACAGACCATTGGTAGAAGTCTTATTTCACAACACCCAATTTAGCTGGGTGTACCTTTAATGCCTGAATTCAGGAGGCAGGATGCTCTGAGTTCAAGGCTAGTCTGGTCTACATACGTAGTTCTAAACCAGCTAGAGCTATATAGTCTCAAAGCAGAAAAAGACAAATGCCCAATTTAGCCAGGCATGGTGCACATGTCTTTAAACTCAGCTCTTGGGAGGCAGAGCCAGGCAGAGCTCTGTAAATTCCAGGACAACCCAGTCTACATAGTGAACTCTAGGCCAGCTAGGACTATATAGTGAGATCTTATCTCAAAAGAAACAACAAACAAACAAACAAAAAACTTAGCCTATATAAGGTGTACATACATACATGTACGCAAACTCATACATATAAGTGTTTAAGATTAGTCAACTTAAATCAAATTTCATAAAAGCAAAAATCAGGCGAAATTAAGCAAATTAAAATAATTTTCTGAGGCTAGAGAGATGGTTTAGTGATTAAAAGCACTGGCTACTCTTTCAGAAAATCTAGGTTCAATTCCCAAGAACCAAATGATAGCTCACAGCATCTATAGCCCCACTTCCAGGGGATCTGTTGCCACCTTCTGGCCTCCATGGGCACCAGCCACACATGGATGTACATGCAGGCAAAAGACCCATATATATAAAATTTCAAAAAGAATTTTCCATAACTCTTATCATTTTATTTAGTTTGCATACTTTTAAAACTGCTCCCTACACTGCATCCATACATGCAGGCACACACGCACGCACACAAAACTTAAAGTCAGGCAAAGGCATGTCTCTGTCTATAACCAAACGATCCAGCACTGCCTGATCCTCCCATCAGCACCTTGCAAAGAACTTACTTAGGGAGCCAATAAAGTCATCTCACCTGAAAAACAGCAGTTTGAATAATCTAACATTTTAAGATGTCAACAAAATTACATTGACTCTTGTCCCTACATATTATTCTTGAGGAACTTGGCGATCTAAGAGGAAGAAGGTGTACAAACACTAAGCTGAGCTACAGTCTTCAGATTTCAAGTTTAACAGAAAAAAAGTCTGTTTTTGTGGCTAAGTTCCCCCACAGAGATCCAAACAGAAAGCTGCCCAGCTGAAAGGAAAGAAGTTTACTGAGGAAAGGATCTTGGACAGCTCTCAGGGCATCTGAATCTATGTGTGTGAATCCATAGCCTATTCCCCCCATTGTTAGTAGCAAGTCATCCTGGGCAGAAGGATGGGATGAAGGATTGAGCAGGGGAATGTAAGGGGAGCATTATCTGATAATTTATTTCAAGACAGCTGTTTTGTTTGACATTGCAAACAAAACCATGCATTACTTGTGTGACGTTTTCCGAGTCTCCAGGGCACTCTTCCTCTTCCCAACCATGCTGCATCAGCAGCCACTACCTCACAGGAGCGCCTGCCAAGTGCTAGTCAGCAGTTCATCACATCCAGAGCTCAGCAATTAATCACTTTCAATGCTGGGCCTCACGGTTGCAGTCTTCTGGGAAAGACAGGAAAGAGAAAATACCATAACCCTACTGAGTAGTTATGTGAGAAAATAAGACACACTGAAGCACAGTGTACCAATGAGAATGACTGCACACCCATAACCCTAGCATTGGAGAAGCAAAGGTTGTGAATTTTACACTAGTACAGTACCTGACCCACAATAAACACTGGCAACATGGTAGTTACTATCTTTATGTTGATACCTGTCCCTTTTGTGGTTTTGTTTTTTTTGTTTGTTTGGTTGGTTGGTTTGGTTTTTTGAGACAGGGTTTCTCTGTGTAGCCCTGGCTGTCCTGGAACTCACTCTGTAGACCAGGATAGCCTCAAACTCTTGAACTCAGAAATCCGCCTGCCTCTGCCTCCCAAGTGCTGGGATTAAAGGCGTGCACCACCACTGCCCAGCTTTGGTTTTGTTTTAACTGAGAATATGCCTCCACCCGATTGACCATAGGCAAGTCTGCGGGGCATGTTCTTAATTATGATGTGGGAGGATTTAGCCTACTGTAGGCAGGTGGTCCTGAGTTGTGTAAGAAAGGTAGTTGAGCAAGCCATGGAGCACAAGCCAGGAAAGTAAGCAGCATTCCACTATGGTCTGTTTCCGTTCCTGTCTCTGGTTCCTGTTTTGAGTTCTTGCCTTGACTTCCCTGCAGGATGGACTATAGCTTAAGATGAAATAAACACTATCTACCCTATGTTGCTTTTGTTCAAGGTATTTTATCACAGCAATCTAAAAGCTAACTAGGCAGTACCCAAAGACCGCATCTTTCCCCCTCAGCCTTTTTATAAGCTGCCATGAAAGGAGAAAAATACAAGAACAGGTAATAATTATTCCATTAGAAATTTCAAAATCAACTAGGACAAATAATGTTCCCTTATAAAGACATCACTGGAGCTGGGCAGAGTAGTGGTTCAGGCCATAATCCCTAGCACTTGGGAGGCTGAGGTAGGAGGACAGCCTCAAATTCTAGTCCAATCTGGGATATGTAGTCAGGTCAGTCGAGACTAAAAAGTGAGACTGTCTCAAAACAACCAAAAAGACAAAATTGCTTTTTGGGAGATTTTGTGGCATTTATTATACAACTAATACTTATATTCTTCAGCTACAAATTTCCATTAAAATACCAGAAAGGTCAAATAGTTCAGTAAGTAAAAGTACTTGCCACCAAGCCTGATGACCTGAGTCCCATCCCTAGTTCTCACACGAAGGAAGTAGAAAACTGATTCCCTCAAGTTTTCCTCTGACCTCCTTGTATACACCTTGATATGTGTATACAGATATATACATACACATGTACATACAACAAACAAGTAGATAAAATGTAAATGTAAAAATTAAAAACAATCATGCCAAGAGTTATATGGTAAACTAAACCCCCTTTCTGTTCTCTTGTTTCTGGGTCTTACTGGTTTTTATAATTAGATACTTAGGATTCCTGAAACACTATATAAGAGTCTTAAAAGCAACTTTTACTCAACTACTGCCTAGACTTTGGCTTCTAAACACCATCTGTTAATAAAAGGAGTCAGAGCTGTCTAAAAGTGGCTGCTTATAGACTTGTGTCAGAAAAAGCAAGACACAGGCTAGAACATTTGATGCCACCAGAAAAGGAAAGAGAAAGGTAAACCATAAAGTGGTGCTATTCTATAGTTGACAGGAACATCAAAAGATCCCAGAACACATATCAAACTAATCTCAAGACAATGGGCGATTTCCTGGGAACACTGGGAAGAAAGAGAGGATGGCTACTTGTGTTAGTCAACTCTGTACTGGAAGGCAAAAGGAAATCAAATACAAACTGAAAAGGGACAAATAATGTTGGGGGCAGTAGAACTAGAACTCCTAAGAAATCAGAGCAGCACAATGATTCAGAGGGCATAGGCTCTTGCTGCCAAGCTTGAAGACCACCTAAGTGCAAACCCAGAACCCACATGGAAGGAAAGAATCAACTCCTACAAGTTGTCCTGACTTTCACACAGACATCATAGAACATGCTCACTTGCACATGCACACATACAAAATAAATGTAAATAATAGAAAATCTATAAGAGATCTATAAAATGTTAAGAAATCTACAAAAGAAAATCTAGAATGAAGAAGCAAGTTTCTTTAGTAAGGCTAGAAGGGCACAAGACTGATACACAAAAACAACTTAAAAATTTTAAAATTCATTATGTCTGTCTATGTGCACTTAAGTGTATGAAGACACATGCATTCAACAACATGTGTATGGAAGTCAGCTTCTACCATGTTGAAAACAAGAGCTCTTGAATTTTGTTGCCTATGCCAGATATCTGCAGACTCCCAGAGATTCTCTTGTTTCTGCTTCCTACCTCCCTGTAGGAACTGGGATTACAGACTGCATCTGGCTTTCTTGTGACTTCCTTCAAGACTCAAACTCACACTTCAAGTTCACACTTGAATGGCAAGTGCTTCTACCCACTGAGCCATTTCTCTAGGTCCAGAAAAATGAAACAAAACCCTTTGCCTCACTCCATGCAGCTCCTAGCTGCCTGGAAGTCAGTATCCTGCTTCAGATGAAGATGTAGAACTCTCAGCTCCTCCTGCACCATGCCTGCCTAGATGCTGCCATGCTCCCACCTTGATAATGAACTGAACTTCTGAAACTGTAAATCAGACCCAATTAAATGCTGTCCTTTATAAGACTTGCCTTGGTCATGGTGTCTGCTCATAGCAGTAAAATCCTGACTAAAACAATCTAATCTGCCTGCTTTCTTGTACTCAAAAAGCATTGCTATTTCTTTCTCTTCTCCATCTCTCTCCTTCTGGCAGTTGACTGTCCTCTTTTTCTCTCAAATGCTAATAAGGGGATCAGCTGGTAGAGTGCCGGTCTAGCATGTAAGAAACCCTAGGTTCAATCTGTAGTAGCACATAAACAGAACACTGGCTCTTACCTGTAATCTGAGATAGAGGTAGGAAGATCTGGAGTTCAAGATTAATCTCAGGCCGGGCGGTGATGGCACACGCCTTTAATCCCAGCACTTGGGAGGCAGAGGCAGGCGGATTTCTGAGTTCGAGGCCAGCCTGGTCTACAGAGTGAGTTCCAGGACAGTCTGGGCTACACAGAGAAACCCTGTCTCGAAAAACAAACAAACAAAAAAAACAAAACAAAACGAAAAGATTAATCTCAGGTCTGGGGAGTTGGCTCAACAAAGCACTTCTTAGAAGACCTGAGTTCCATTCTCAGAATCCACAGCAGCTCATAACTATAACTCCAGTCCCAGGATAGCCCACATCCTCTCCTGACTAATTTTGGGTACTAAGCATGCACATACACACATTCAGGCAAAACAATCATACACATAAAATAATTTTTAAAAATTTAAATATCATTCTTTGTTCAAGGCCAATGTGGGTACATCAGATTCTGTCTGTAAAAACCAAACCAAACCAAGACTGGCCATAGTTACATGATTGAGCACCTAGCTAATAATACACAGTCCCTGGCATCACACATGCAAATGAACAATTTCATCTACAGTATCATCAAAAAGAATTAAATCTCCTAGGTTCCTTTTGAGTTTTATGGTTGGCAAAAGGTCTGTGTTGCTCAGGCTAGGTTCAGTTTCCTGGGCTCAAGCTAGTCTTCTACCCTACTCTCCTAAGATAAGGTTATCACTGCGTCCAGACTTAGGAAGTACTTTAACAATAAAAAAAGTATAGGTCTATACAATAAAAAATACAGAAACACTAAAAAGAAAATAGATGCAAACATACAAAGAGATAGAACATGTTCATAAATCAGAAGTCTCACTATGAAGTTACCAATTCTTATCAAAATTCCAAAAAGCTTTTCTTAAAAAACTGATAAGTGGATATGAAAATATATCTGCAAATATAATAGATCTAGACTAGGAGACAGAACAGCTAGGAGACAGTATTACTCTGCCTGATTTCACAATCCAGAACAAGGCTATGATAGCAATGTTAATAATAGACATGTAGGCCAACAGGACACAACAGAGTCCAGAAGTAAACCACACTTCAGCCAACTAAAAGTTGCCCCAGCAATTTCACGAAGAAAGGGATCATGGTTTACCCAATGGTATTGAAACAACAGAATGTTCATGTTCATACAGTCGACACCTAAAGAAGGATTAACTGAAGAATCCACCTGTCTTGCTCTAAGAGTACAGAATGAGGTCACATGCCCAGATGAAGTCTTTCAAATCTGCCTGCCAGTGGACTTGTACTCTGGTTCAAGGCAGAGCTTAAAAGAACCACTTTCTGGAGCCAGTCAACATGCTACGTACGGGTTTGGGGTCTTCATTGCTTCAAGAATGTCATTAAAATCTGATTCTCCATGGAAACCTCACTGCTCACAAAACCTTGTCCTCAACAGAGATAGATACCAGATACTGTCTACACATGGTTGAAAAGCAGGAACCTGAGAGGGGAGTTCAAGGGTTTCTACAGCCACTGCCATTCAAGAGGTAACAACTTACCTTGTAATCTCTCTGATGAAAGTAGATGGGAATGTTGGCCTTTAGGCAAGTCACACTGAAGGACAAGAGAGCCAATGACACTAGAATGAAGCCATCTTTTTCTTACCCAATTAAACTTATTATTTTTAGTTTATTAAACTAAAAATCTAAACCATGTGGTGACAATGGCATGTAATTTCAGCACTCTTGAGGCTGAGGCACAAGGAGCATTAGTCTAGGCTTCATGATGAATGAACCATTCTCAAACAAAGTATCTAGAGGAAAGGGAGTGTCTAAGGCCGAGGGACCAGCAACACAGAAGTTTCCAACCCGTCTGGAGTAATGAGGATTTCATCCTGACCTCTGCTGACCCCCTCTTCCACTCAATCCATCACCAAGTGTTTCCAACTTCAAAGCATTTTAAGTCTACTGTTCCCCATCTCCAGTCATTACATTAATAAAGCCACCATCATGTTACCAGCTGAATTCTACTTCTACATTCAGCCTCCTTACAATCTTGTGTGTGTGCATTCAAGTGCATATGCCACA